AATTTATTAGTAGTATTATTTATTTAAAATTTATTAGTAGTATTATTATTAATAATAATAATAATTTATTTAAGTAGGCTCTTTAAGGATCCAAAATTGTCAGGAAGCAATGGTATAACTCAGTTTTAAATCAAAATCTATGAATTCCAACACAGATTCCCGAGAAAAATGGGATAACTGGGGGCACATAAAACATATATAGCTCAATTCATACCCCACATGGTCAGACAATGACAATATAAAAACGAATTTCCATTCCCAGCTGATAAGCCTGGGAGTTTTCAAGGAAAGGGCAGATTAAGTTTTGCATCATTATCACACCCTTGGAGAGCTACAAACTATCTCCCTCCTCAGTTAGAAAGTGGCTTTTTGGACAAACCCTTGGAATCAGGGCCAGAAGAACCCCCCCGAGGTTTCTCCACGCCCCGAACGTGAGGTGTGGGTGCTCTGCTGAGGCTGCAGGGTTTGGAGAGCTGGCCCAGCACCAACCTGCTCACAGAAAGGCCTCAGGTCGATGTGCAGGGGGAAGGTGTAGCAGCTCGTCTCCTTGTACCTCTCGCACTTCTCAAAGTCGAAGTTGAACCTCAGCAGGGACACGGTGAGGAACGGCGGCAGCTTCCGCAGCTTGGCAGACTGGGAGGGATCCGAGAGACAGCTGTCAGCTCACAGGGAGAGCACGGCAGTGTTTCCACCCTCTGCACAACTCCTTTTCCAACTAAAGACACGCCCAGGGTGTTACAATTTAAAGTGCCTTCCCTAATCCTCAATTTCCCTACGTTCTAAGAGGAAGCCAGAGCTTTCCCCCCTGTTAAGCCCCATATCCTCCTGGACTGGTGATCGTTGTCCTGCTACAGAAAACAAAGGACATGGGGGAAATTCCGGTCAGTAATTCCATTTCCACAGCCACAGAACACTGCAAGTCTCCCCTGATTTACACAGGAAAGCACCTTCCAGGCAGGAAAGCCAAGAGAATCCATTTTCATGAGGGAGAACATTAATCAAGGTTGAACAGCTTGGTGTGGGACACATCAAGAACCCTTGGGAGAAGCAAAACCAACCACCTCTGCATGCAAGTGTGCATTCAATGGCCACGTTCCTGAGCCTTTCCAATGTCTCCAAACCACCACACCATCCAACTCTCATTTCTAGGAGAACCTTACAGGAACACACAGATGGCTCAAAAAAACCCCTGAATTAGGTATTCTTGTTTTATCCATTGTCAAGACTACGTGGCAAAGCTTAGTGGAACAGGGATTCCAAAATGCCATGTTCTGCCAAGCTCGGTGTGAAATCAGATGGTGCCATTAAATTTTGGTCAAGCCCTGGGGCGGGAAACAAAAAAGAAGGGAGAGCCACATCCAGAGAGCCCCAGAGCACAAAGGGATGTGCTCCTCCAACATCCCTCCTCCACGCTGCAGCCGTCCAGCACAGCCTGACATCCCCAGCTATGGGATTTCCTATCAAAATCCAGCGTTCCAACTCTCCTCCTGCAGGGATGAGCACCTTTGAGAGGCACACAACTGTTCCCCTGCACTCCCTTGAACCCAGCAAAGTTTAATCCAACCAGCACGTGAGGCACGGCCAAGTGTTCCCGAGCTCCCCGGGCACTGATTAACTCGGCCTGCCCTCAGCTTCCCCTTGGAATGCTCCCCCCCACATCCAGCTGTAGGGTTTGGATTGCACAAGGAGCTTTGCTGTTGGCAAGAGGGCAGAATATGCACCAACAAAAACACAAAACATTTCCTTCACAAAACACAGAGCAACAGTGACCATTTCCCTGTGCAGAGCAACTTCTGCTCATTGTTCTTCTCTCCCATTCGGGTTCTTCGGGAGAGAATTTCCACGGTTTTCCTCATTACATGGATCTGTGTTTTCTCTTTATGCTTCTTGACACAGTTGCTCAGGTTTCATAGAAACATGGCATGGTTTGGGTCGGGAGAGACCTTACAGCTCGTCTCATTCCACCCCCTACCACGGGCAGGGACACCTTCCACTAGCCCAGGGTACTCCAACCTGGCCTTGGACACTTCCAGGGATCCAGGGGCAGCCACAGCTTCTCTGGGAAACCTGTGCCAGGGCCTCCCCACCCTCCCAGGGAAGAATTCCTTCCCAATATCCCACATAACCCATAACCCTGCCCTGTGGCACTGGGAAGCCATTCCCCCTTGTCCTGGCACTCCAGTCTTTCTCCATCTTTCTTGTGGGCTCTCTTCATGCACTGCAAGGCCACAACCAGGTCACCACAAAGCCTCTCTTCTCCCAGCTGAACAATCCCAGCTCTCCCAGAACTTCCTCACAGGACAGCTGCTCCATCCCTCTGACCATCTTGGTGCCTCCTCTGGACTTGCTCCAGCACGTCCATGTCCTTCCATTACTGGAGACCCCAGAGCTGGAGTCTCCATCCAAGCAAACTGAGCTCTGAGAGTCCCCAGGGAGTTACCTTTGAAGCTTCAACAAGTTTGTCACAGGCTCCACACCGATACAAGTTGTCATTTTCAAAGTATTCTTCTTCCACATACATGTTCCACAGGGCCTCCTCCAAGCCAGCAACACCTTTCACTGCCACCGTGAGGTCTAAGAAATCTTCCTGTGCAGAAAGAACAGCAAAAAAGGAGCTATTAAAGTGGTGTAAGCCCGTGGGACAGTAGAAAGATCCTCACTCCCACCACCACAGCAGATGGAAACGTTCGCTGCTGATGGGGAAAAACCACCACAGAAGAGAAATTAATTTTTACACCCCAATTTTTTTGGAGCATCAAAGGCTGTAAATATACATTTTGCTGTCGTTAGAGAGCTGAGCAGTGAGGTAACTGCATCTCCCAAAGGCTCAGAGGACGCGGGAACACTTGGGGTTTTTCCCCTCTGAGGGAGGTGGTTTGGAAAACGCAGCCAAGACTTCGAGTCTCGATTCAACAAGGACACAAGAAAGATGAGATTTCTTTTCTTTTGGACTTAAAAAAAAAAAGAACATTGGAAGTACCTTCATCACACTGTGGTGGAAAATGCCCCTGCTTTACCTGTCTCTCACTGACATTCTTGCACTCCTTGCACACGATGTGGTTGACAACAATCCCGTGGTACAGTCGGTTGATGAGGTCATGGCCTGATGTCCCCACCAGGGAGGTCTCCAGAGCACTGAACAGGATCCTGTTCAACTCCTGCACATCGTGTTGCCTCATCTCCTGCCCCAGGAAACAGGGAGAAATCAAAACAGTGCTCTTTGCTCTGCTAATTCCTTAAAAACAGCATTTATCAGGTGTCACAGAGAAGCCTCTGACTCCTCCCAGGTTACCCCCCGAGGAGTAAAATACCACATTTATTACTGTTCTTGAGGGGGTTATGTTGAGTAGCTCCAAGTACATCATCTACAACTCACACATGACACTTCCACTTGGGAAGAATCCTGGAATGGTGGTGGTTGGGAGGGATTTTAAAGCTCATCCCATTCCACCCCCTGCCATGGGCAGGGACACCTTCCACCATCCCAGGCTGCTCCAACCTGGCCTTGGACACTTCCAGGGATGGGGAAACCACAGCTTCTCTGGGAATTCCATCCCACCCCCTCCCCACCCTCCTAGGGAAGAATTCCTTCCCAATATCCCACCTAACCCTGCCCTCTGGCAGTTTGAAGCCATTCCCCCTTGTCCTGTCACTAAACTCTAAGACAAGTGACACACTTCCAACTTGGGTAAGAATCTGAGTATCTGAGGACACTGCTGGAAAACATTCCTGTAAAAACCAAGGAAAAGCTACTGGAGTTGTATCAAAGAGAACAACCATCTTCTGCAGTTTCCTGTGAACTGGCATGGAGTTTGTGTGGAGAGCCAACAACAGCTGACCCAGTCCAAGGTCATCTACACAGCCTGAAGGATTTTAAGATGTGTCTTAAAGGTCAAACTCCAAGAAAAAAACCCAAACACAAACTCTCCATTGAGGAAAACAAGTTTCCAAGGGCTGGAGATTTGCACCTCATGGCTGTTCCAGCCAAAGCTCTCGGTGAGGTCTGTGGTGGATGCAGCCTGTTGGTCCAAGAGCAGGAGCTGAGCAAACAACCTCTGGAGTTGCAATGGAATTATTCGAACCTGGGAACAAAACCCACAAAACACACCCAAAACAGGTCAGAAAGGGTCATTAAGATCATTTAAACCACAGTAATTTAGCACAGAATTTGTAATAAACTATCACTGTCTGTGGCTTTCATAACACAGGTGACTTGATTCACACCAAAACAGCAGTGACACTTTGTTCCCAAAAATCTACAGTTCAACCAAATCATGGAATGGCTTGGGTTGGAAGGGATCTTAAAGAACATCTCATTCCATGGGCAGGGACACCTTCCACTAGCCCAGGCTGCTCCAACCTGGCCTTGGAGACTCCCAGGGATGGGGCAGCCACAGCTTCCCTGGGAATTCCATCCCAGCCCCTCCCCACCCTCACAGCCAACAATTCCTTCCCAATATCCCATCTAACCTCTGGCAGTGGGAAACCATTCCTCCTTGTCCTGTCCCTCCATCCCTTGTCCCCAGTCCCTCTCCAGCTCTCCTGGAGCCCCTTTAGCCCCTGGAAGGGGCTCTCAGCTCTCCCTGGAGCCTTCTCCTCTCCAGGTGAACTCCCCCAGCTCTCCCAGCCTGGCTCCAGAGCAGAGGGGCTCCAGCCCTGGGAGCATCTCTGTGGCCTCCTCTGGACTCCTTCCAAGATATTTCCTGTGTTGGGTCACACCAACAGAGCCATGGAACACATCTTTAGTGATAACCAAAACTCTCCCATCACCACAGTAAAAAAGAACAACTTTTCCTGATATTATTCCTGACACTAATCCCTAAAAACTCAGCTCCAACACACCCTGATCCACAGATTTCCACCTGGTGTGGAGGAACAAGATGGGAAGGAGAACATTTCAGCAGAGATGGACTCAATATCTGATCCCTGAAGGAAAACCTTCTGGTACTGGACACTTGGAACTGTGTGAAAAATCCAGCATCACCCAACCCAAACTGGCTTTTGGGGTTAAACCTGGGCCTTCCCTCCTCCTCACAACAAGGGGCACGGGAATTGAAACAAAATTCCTCCAGCTCAACCCTGAGAGGTGACTAAAAAATTCCCAATACCTTTGCATCTGGTTTCCTGCTGTCATCCAGAGTCCCGAGTTCCTCAGGTCCCAGAGAAAACAAGGCCTCTGGAATGGGAAAGAAAAACATCTCTTTAAAAGATACAACATCTGAGGAAAAAGGGGGCAAGGGGGGAAAAGGGACAAGGGAGAGAAAAGCAGGAGAGAAGGACTGGCAAATATCTTTTTCAGGAATTGTAGTGATGGGATTAATAAAATTACCAACTCCAGACAGCAATAACCTCATTTATTTACACAAATTGTAACTTGTAAGAAAACTCAATGTTTCTAATACTTAAATTTTGTGCCAAACTCGTTTTACAGCCCAACATCCTGGAATAATTTACTGGAAGTTAACTGTTCCTGAAAACCATCTTGAGTTCCCCCTGTTTCATAAATATCCAGCCATGAAAGTCTCCCTAAAATATCACCCCAAATATGATTTTAAAGGTGGTTTTGAAGCCTTTACCTCTAAATTCCGGTGTGAAAAGCAGAGTCTGGAGCAGGGAATTGAGGTAGCAGGTCCCACCCTGGTTTTTGATCCCACTGAGGTTGGTGAAATCCCTGGGAGCTGGAGGTTCACACTCTCTGGGCTTTGATGTCTTCCCTTTTCCCCAGTGATTGTTGGAAATGAAGGAAAAATCCTCGTCAAATAAGTCCCCAAACATTGTGAAGGCAAAAGAGGCCTTGAAAAAAAAAAATGCAACAGGAGTTATTTGCTATAAAAAGGGCAATTGAACCCACTCAAACCCTAAAAAATAAACCTGTGTCTGTATTCATTTTTCCATTTTATTCTAAAAATCCATGTCAGGTCCATGCAAAAAAATGTAAATTAATGTAACAAAAAAAGGGGGAATTAAAAGCATTTCTGTTCCCATGGGTCTGAACAGAACCAAACACATCCCAATTCAGTTTGGCCCCAGCAAAAAGCACAAGTATGGCAAAATAAATAAGTCCTTTTAAACATCCAGGATTAAGGAGTGCTCAAGTTTCCTGCAAGGAAAAACATGGAAGTCCTCTCCAGCTCCTCCAAATCCCTCAGAAATCCACGTGCACCTGTAGCCTGCCTCTGGAATTGGCCAGTTCACATGGGGAGAGTGGAACAAACAGTCAAAAATCCAGTGATGTTGTAAGAAAATTAGACATTTGCTTCCAGCTGTTTAAGCCAGAAACTCAATGGTGACTAATTTTTCTTATGGGATTCTTTTTGGAAGCATCTCAGCTTCCAAAACTTGCTCCTTTTGTTCTGGATTTGTCAGCCCACAATTCCCTTTGGTGTGTGTGGCACCAGCAGTGAGTAATCCCTGAGTTATTCCGGAGCAGGGAATAAACATTCCCTAATTTACCTTCAGCCCATGTGAAGTTTTACACACCTTGACCATATTCCACCTCTTCCAGAAGCTTTCAGAGAGTTGGATTTAACCTACAACTGGACTTGTCTCCTACCTTAATAATTAATCTTTAATTTAATCCACTTCCTCCACACCCCTTAAACTTCTCCTTTACCTCTTTGAGAGCATAAAGACTTTAAAGCTTTAAAGCTGCAATCTTTCAGTTGATTCCACAAGGGAAAAAAACCCCAACCAATCAACATTCCCTGTTTATTTCATAATTTAGCATATACTGAACTCAATCCATGGTGAACACACAAAGCACCTCCCCTGTGGGAGAGCTGAGTTTTAGCCCGTTTTCCTGCCTTTCAGCCAATTCTTTAAATCAATAACTTTCCTCTGGGTCTTAATTGCTTTAGGAGCTTTCTCAGCTTAATTGCTCTGAGAGCTTCCAGTGGCAAACCTTGTGGAATGCCTTTGGAAAATCCAAAGTAGCTGAGAGCTGATCAGGCTCATCTCCTAAGACTCTCCTTATAACAGTGGTATGTGAATGGATTTAAGGCGCCAGAGGGCAGGGTTAGATGGGATACTGGGAAGAAATCCTTTCCTGAGAGGGTGTCCAGGGAATCTGGGCATATCCCACCCCTGGATGTGCCCAAGGCCAGGCTGGAGCAACCTGGGCTAGTGAAAGGTGTGATGATCTCTAAGGTCCCTTCCCACCCAAACCATTCCATGCTCCAGCCCATTTCAGCCCTTCCCACAGAAGTGTTTAGGGAAAAGCTCTGCTGGGAACAGCTCTGCTCGTTCTGGAATGTTCTTTCAGCTCTTCATCCAAGAGAAATCCCCCTACAAACCCTCACAGAATAAAACAACATGGCTGGAGACACTTTCTGATGAAAACAGAGAGGGAACAAATCCCTTCCAGAGCTTTGCATCGGCTCTTATCCCAGGACTGCCTTAAAACCTCTGGAAAGGCCCTGCCTCCTGAGCTTCCAGAGGCAGTTCCTAGGTTTGGAACTTCTTCCAAAGTGTCTCACAGCCCTCATTCCTTTTTCCAGTCGGGCCTGTTGCACTTTAGCCCTTGTTCTCCTGATCTGAATCTCCAGCAGCTCGTTCCCAAGAGGAACGTTCATCCAATCAGGCACAACTCCAGGAGACACCCCCACCCACCACTCCAGGGAAGCACTTCAGTGCCAAATCCTCCCTCGCTCCTTATTTCTGGAGCCTCCAAGCACTGCTGCTGGCAGCCTCCTTCCCTTAGATCCACAATGGAATATGGATTAGAAGGAATTCTGGAGGAGGTCTCTGGTCCAAAGCAGGACCAGCTCAGAGCACACTGTGTGCCACTGCCAAGGCTGGAATAAATCCATGGCAGGAGATCCCAAACCCATGAAAGGGATCTCCAAAGCTCTCCAATGAATCCAGGAAGGCGATCCCATACCCTTCTAATAAATCCATGACCAGAGAACCCAAAAATCCCTCGAGTAGGTCCATAAAAGGAAATCCCCAAATGCCTCTGATAAACCCCGGACAGAAGATCCCAAAATCCCTCCAATAAACCCAGGACAGAAGACCCCAAAATCTCTCCAATAAACCCAGGACAGGAGATCTCAAACCCATGGCAGGACGTGACAAAACCCATGAAAACCATCCCAAACCCCTCTAATAAATCCCTAACAGGAGATCCCAAACCCTCTGATAAATCCATGACACGAGATTCCAAACACATGAAAGGGATACCCAAACCCCTCGAGTAAATCCATGGCAGGAGATCCCAAATCCATGACAAGAGACTCTAAACTCCTCGGACAAATGGGATCCTAAATTCCCTCTAATAAACCCATGACAGGAGATCCCCAAACACAC